CTCCCACTCTCCCCCTCACTCCGCACTCACCCTCAGTTGTATAAAGATATAGGGGCCTGAAGGGGTTAACGCTGAGGGTAGGTGCCTTGAAGGTGTATGATCTTTTTGTAGTTTCCGTAACAACGCCAGTCCCAGCCTGTAACCTGTACATTGCTAACATGCAATAAACCTCATCCTGCTTAAGGAAAGAGATAACAAGGTGTAGAGCTGGATGAACACATCAGGCCAAGCAGCATCAGAGGAGCAGGAAAGCTGACCTTTCGGGTCTTTTCAGAAGAAGGGTCTGGACCCGAAACGTCAGCCTTCCTGCTCCTCTGATGCTGCTTGGCCTGCTGTGTGCATCCAGCTCTACACCTTGTTATCTCAGATTCTCCAGCATCGGCAGTTCCTACTATCTTTGGTTAAGGAAAGAGCCTCTTATTGTTAAACTAGGAAATGGTTTTCCTCTACCACACTAGACGAAGTGGGCCGAATAGGTGCCCATCCTAAAGGAGGATGACAGCAGAAAACAAACCCCACAGCAAGCTATAACACAAACAGCTTTATGGCACACGTAGTCAGAACTGCCCATTCAATATGGTGAGCAGCAGTGTGGATTCCATCACACTGCCTTGTAACACATACTGGGGCAACGGTGGAGGTCTCAGATAAACTGAATGTTCGAGAACACCACTGACTGTAGTTTCTGCCGTATTGTTTATTCAATGATAAAAGCATTTCACGCTTGACATGAGGGTAAGACCTGTGTGGGACATAAGTATTGGTCACTCTGTCAGTGGGATTGTGAATAAAGTTAATATCCCGTGTGGGCATGGGAATTCTTTTGAAAGTGATGCAGAGTTAGTTTGGCAAGCTATGAATAATCATCCTTAATAAAAATGCAGCCAGCAGATGCAGAATAAAGCGAGTTATAGCAAACAACTGACTGTGAAATAGAATTGGAACCAATAATAGAAACGGGGTTATTGTTTGAAAGACAAAGGGCTAAATCTTGGCTAAATGTCAATGTCATCAACTGTCGCAGAGATTTTCTCTCCATGATGCTGAGCAAGATTTCTCCACGTATCATCCCAGCGTGACAGGAGGCCATTCGGCCTATCATGTCTGTGCCAGTCATCAAGCACCTATTTACTCTAGTCTCACTTTCTGTGGCAGTTCAAGTCAACTTCTAAATACTTCTTAAATGTTGTGTGGGTTCCTGCTGACACAAACTGTGGTGAAAGAACTGTAAATGGAGTACTTCATTTTCCTTTTTATTTTTATGCTGGACTTTTATTTATTATTTTTTCAATTTTGTACCAAATACTTAAGTGTCTGTACCTAGGTATCCTGTACCTAAGATGGCACCATAAGCGACGACAATGCAAATTTTTCCCTGCACTCATCTGAGTGCGCATGACAACAAAGCTAATTCTATTTCAATTCAACTCTACCATCCATTTAGCGGTGAGTTCTAGATTATCACCACCTTCTGGCTGAAAAAAAATCCTTCTTTAGATTCCCTCTAAACTTCCTGCCCTTTACCTTAAATCTATGCCCACGGTTTTTGATGCCTCTAAGAGGAAAGGTTTCTCCTTATCTACGCTATCTATCCCTGTCATTATTTTGGACACTAGAATCAGGTACTCCCAAATTTTCCAAATTGTCCTGGGTCTCACAACCTCTTACCTTCTCAACCAGAATGTCATGTAAGGCCTTGTCCAAACTCTTACCAAAGTCCATGCAGATTACATCCACTGAACTATCCTTATCCATACCTCTACGAACCTCCTCAAAAAACTCAAACTTCTTAGACATGATCATCTCCCCCTTGCTCACTACTCTTACTTCATCCTTACCTCTCCAAGTGGAAATTAATTCTATCCCTCAGAATGTTTTCCAATATGTACCTTATAGCTGATATTTGGTTTGTTCCTACCACCTTTCTTGAATAATAGCTATCCTCAGTCCCTGATAACTTTCCTGTGGGCAGAAAGAATTTACAAATCCATGTCGAGAGCCCTGCTATCATCTCTCTTGCCTCCCAAACTGGACTGGGGGACCTATCCAATCTTAAGCCACTAATACTTCCTCACTCTGAACCCTCATCATTAGCTACCGAGCCCACTCCATGGCTCATCCCTTGTCTGATGCAGTGCATGGAATACTGGAATAACTCACTATTAATCAGACATTCGGGAATGGATCAGCATTCCTGGTGCCAGTGCCATGTTTAAACACAATTGCTTGCAGAGCCAAGCACTGATGTTATGAAACTGCCGTGTATGGTTTGTCACCTTCTCCCCAGACATGGTAGACGAGTGGAAATTGGTGTCCCACCTTGTGGACGGGAACTGGGAAGCCCTGATCAACGGGGTGGTACACAGGATGTCCTCTTTCCCCAGGACATAGAGACATAGAAGATAGGAGTGGGAGGAGGCCATTCGACCTTTTGATCCTGCTCTGCCATTCTTCACAATCGTGGCTGATCGTCCAACTCAATAGTCTTCTCCTGCTTTCTCCAAATTGCCTTTGATCCCATTCGCCCCAAGTGCTATACCTAGCCACCTCTGGAGTACATTCAATGCTTTGGCATCAACTACCTCCTATGGTAATGAATTCCACAGGCTCACCACTTTTTGGGTGAAGAAATGTCTCCACATCTCCGTCCTAAATGGTCTATCCCGAATCCTCATACTGTGACCCCTGGTTCTGTTCACACCTACCATCGGGAATATCCTCCCTACATCTACCCTGTCCAGCCCTGTTAGCGTTTTATAAGTCTCTATGAGATCCCCTCTCATATGTCTGAACTCCAGCGAAAACAGTCCTAACCCAGTCAATCTCTTCTCATACGTCAGACCCGCCATCCCTGGAATCAGCCTGGTAAACCTTCGCTGCACTCCCTTGAGAGCACGAGCATCCTTCCTCAGGAAAGGAGACCAAAACTGCACACAGTATTCCAGGTGTGGTCTCACCAAGACCCTGTACAACTGCAACAACACATCCCTGCTCCTGTGCTCAAGACCACTCGCAATGAAGGCCAATGTACCATTCACCAGATGAGCAGGCCACCACACTGCTCTCTGCCATTCTAGGCTGAGTTCACCATCAGGGTCAGAGCAGTGTCCACAGTGCAAACTGCTACCATCAATATCTCAGGGGTTACCCTTGACCAGTAACTGAACCGGAACAAAATGGCTACTAAAGCAGCTCTGAGGCTAGGAATCCTGAAGCGAGTAACTCGCCTCCTGACTCTTCAAAGCCTATCCACCATCTATGTGGCACAAGTTAGGAGTGTGATAGAATGCTCCCCACTTGCCTGGATGGGTGTAGCTCCAACAATACTCAAGAAGTTTGACACTATCCAGGACAAAGTAGCTTGCATAATTGACACCATATCCACAAACATCCATTCCCTCCACCACTGACGCTCAGTAGCATCAGTGTGTACTATCTACAAGATGCACTACAGAAATTCACCCCAAGATCCTCAGACAGCACCTTCCAAATGCATGACCACTTCCATTTAGAAGGGCAAGGGCAGCAGGTACGTGAGAAAACCACCATTTTTAAGTTCCCCTCCAAGCAACTCACCATCCTGACTTGGAAATATATCAGAGATAGTAGGAATTGCAGATGCTGGAGAATCCGAAGAAGGGTCTATGCCCGAAACATCAGCTTTCCTGCTCCTCTGATGTTGCTTGGCCTGCTGAGTTTATCCAGCTCTACACCTTGTATTCTTGGAAAAATATCACTGTTCTTTCAGTGTCGCTGGCTCCAAATCCTGGAATGAGGGCTTTGTGAGTTTATTTACAGCGCATGGAGTGCAGCAGTTCAAGACGGCAACTTGTCACCACCTTCTCAAGAGCAACTAAATACAGGCAATAAATCCTGGCCAGCCAGCGATGCCCACAAATGAATGACAAGAAACACTATGGAGTTAAAACTTCCTGTGCGCTCCCAATCCCCGGTGACACTTATGTATTGGCTCACTGTGGGCTGTGCACCTCTCTGCCCTAAACATTGCTGACCATTTCATGCAAGAGCAGCCCCTTTGGCCACTGAGTCCAGTGAAGCAACAACTGAGGCCCTTGTAAATACAATGCTTACACACGGTTGCAGTCACTTCTCAATCAGGTCTGGCTCCATTATGCATCATTTAAGAACCAGGATGTCTGGCCTTATAATGGGGATGGTCAATAACAATTTTACTGTGTCCAGTGGCAGGATAGAGAGCTGCAGATTACTGAGACATGAAACCACATTATTGATGTTGTGAACTAACAAACAATCTCCACTAATCTTGCCACTGCCGCAGTGAGAATCTGGTCTTGACACTCAGATCTAAGGTTTTGGAGTAGATTTGTAGCTCGGGTTGTGGGTGTTGTGGTTGGTTGGCTCGCCGAACCAGCGAACCACCTCGGCGAGCCAACCAACCACAACGCTCAGATCTTAACTGGAAATTGCAGCGAGTTGGTCCTGATATCGAGATGCGTTTTTCATGCCAATCTCACTCCATAGCCCATGTCTCTCAGAGCCCTGTTAAGATACCACCCACAGAGCGCTATTGGGGAAATGAGGATCCCCTCAAATACCAGCTGAAAAGGAATGGGCAATAGTCCATCAGGTGGTCATCCCATCTGAGTATCGTAATGAAATTTCATGAATGGCTCACAAAATTCCCACAGAAGTTCCATTAGGGATACCCATTAAGCCTAGGCTAAAATGAGAAGGCGTTTTAATTGGTCCAAGATGTGTAAAGATGTGGAAAAATTTTGCCAAATGTGCCACACCTCTCAGGTCATGGGGAAATACCAACCCTGAACTAAACCTGCACCTTTCAAACCCAGTACCAATTTTCCAAGGATCATCTATCATGGCCTGAATTAATTTCATTGGACATTCAGCTAAAACCCAGGAATGGGACTCAGTATGTTTAAACAACTGTGAATATGTTGACCGGACTCCCTGATGCAGTACCTTTGGAGAAAATTACGGCAAAGAAATGACACCGGAAATGTTTGTTCATTTGTTTTATTAGATGTGAATTAAAGCAAAATTTATAAAGCAAAGCTCAGAGTCTGTGCTTCCAGTGCACGTTTCAAGTTCCAGAGAAGAAGTTACCAAAGTATAAGAGATACAAAAGGCGTTTGAAAAGTCATAGAGTCACAGAGTTTTTCAATCTGGGAAGAGGCCCTTCAGCTCATTGTGATAGTTCTGGTCATCAAATATCAATCAATTCTGATGACATTTTCTAGCCTTGAATGCTGTGGTGTTTCAAGTGCTCAGCTAAATAATTTTTAAGTTTGAGGGCTCCCACCTCTACCAACTTGTTAGACAGTGAATTTCAGATACCCATAACCTTCTGGGTATTCTCAAACCCTGACTAAAACTCTTGCTCCGTGCTTTAAAGCTGTGCCCCCAGTTGTCGATCCCTCCACTGAGAGGCAAAGTGTCTCCCTATCTACCCTATCTATGCCGCTCATAACTTTGTACACCCCAGCCTACCCTACAACCTTCTCTGCTCTAAGGGAAACAACCAGTGTATTGAGTCTCTCCTCATCATTGAGTCATTGCATCTGGATAACATCTAAAAACGGAAAGAACTGCAGATGCTGTAAATCAGAAACAAAAGCAGACATTGCTGGGAAAGCTCAGCAGGTCTGGCAGCATCTGTGGAGAGAAATCAGAGTTAACGTTTCGGGTCCAGTGATCCTTCCTCAGATATACCTCCTCTGCACCCCCTCCAGTGCAATCACATCCTTCCTGTAGTTTGGTAGCCGGAACTGGACGCAGTACTCCAGCTGTGGCCTAACTACTGTCTTATACAGCTCGTAATTTCCCTGTTTTTGTATCCAGTGCCTTGAATAATAAAGGCAAGTATCCCATCTGCCATGTTAACCACCTTATTCGCCTGTCCTTGAGCTTTCACGGATCTGTGGGCATTTATTCCAAGTTCTCTTTGACTCTCTGTACCATGTATTCAACATGTACTCCCTTGTCTTATTCCTTCTCCCAAAATGTATCACTTCATCTTTCCACATGATTAATCACTAAAATTGACATCACTGGATTCCAAGAAGACATGTTACTGCTATCAAGTCCTTGTGAGAATTCCCTGGGGCGCTCACGGAACAAGATGCTTATGCTTTTGGATTTATGACAGCAGTAAAGCATTCATTTTCACTTCAAGTTCATCAAAAGAAAAAAAATCACCAGGGCTTTAGCTGCAAAGAACCAAGAGCTGAGTCCTGAAGCACATTTAATTTTTTTTTCCTAACAGCAGAATCAAAATCCTGAGCACAGTGTTCATTGTTGTAAAGGTCAAAACTTCTGATGTCAGGGATATTAGCTCCAAACATTCTCGAACTTGGATTTGTAGTTCCTGTGCAGTTGTTGGAATGCCAAAATGACAGGGTCATCTTCATTATCACACAGGTCTTCCAGAGAAGTGCTGCCAAATCAGAACAGAACACTTTGTGAGTAAAAGACTTTTCATAGAATAGAAACATAACTGGGCCAGTATTTATTGTCTGTCCCTGAGAAGGTGGTGGTGAGCTGCCTTCTTGAACCACTGCAGTCCACATGCTGTAGGTAAACCTACACTGCCACAGGGAAGGAATTCCAGAGATAGATTAATTCTCGATCAGTCAGGAAATCAAGGGTTACTGGAAAAGGGCATCTAAGTGGACGTGAGGAATGTTAGATCTTCCATGACCCTATTTAACGGCGGAGCAGGCTCGAGGGGCTCAAATAGTCTACTCCTATTTGTTATGGTAGAAAGCTAGGCTAATGGTAACCACTGACGATTGTCGGAAAAACCCATCTGGTTCACTAACGTCCTTTAGGGAAGGAAACTGCCATCCTTACCTGGTCTGGCCTACATGTGACTCCAGACCCACAGCAATGTGATTAACTCTTAACTGTCCTCTGGGCAATTACGGATGAGCAATTAATGCTGGCCTAGTCAGCGATGTCCTCATCCTTTCAACAATTGAAAAAATATAGTTCCAAGTCCAGATGGTGAGTGATTTGGAGGGGATCTTGCAGGGGTGGCACTCCCATGTGTCTGCTGCACCTGTCCTTTAGGTGAGAGATGTCTAACCTGATCTCATACACCAAAGCATAACATCACACAGGCCACAAGGATACATTTTAGAAAATTTCACATAATTGTGAAAACCGTGCACATACTCATTAACGTTTAATATCCATCAATTTGAAATCAGTTTACTAACATTTTATGAAATTTGGTTTCTTTTCCTCCTCTTGTTTATGTGACCATCTCTTTAAAATACTTTTATTCATAGATTCTGTCTAACTCTTCATTTTTACAGAAGATTTAAGAAAAATCTGACTGGTCAAAAGTATCACACTCACTGAGTTAGTGAGATATCGGGGGTCGTTGAGAAATGGATACAACAATGTGTTGGGAGCTCATTGTTACATTTTGATCATTTAAAAAAATGCCTTTGCTGGAAATGACATTGAGTACTCACAGGTCAAAGTTTAATCAGAAGCCAAGAGGAGACATGTAGTGACAAGGAGAGATTGAAAAGGTTGGGGTTGTTTTCCTTGGAACAGAGAGGCTGGGGGTGTCATGGTTGAGGAAAACAGAATTGTGAAGGGTAGAGATAGAGTAGACAAGAGGAGCCTGTTTCTCTTGGCAGAGAGTTCAAGATCCAGGGGTCAGAGATTCAAGCTAAATGGCAGAAGCACTAATGGGGCATGTGAAAAAAAGCATTTTTATGCAAAGGGTTGTGGGTGTCTGGAATTCACTGCCTGAGTTGGTGGTGGAGGCAGAAAACCGAAACTCTTTTAAAAAGTACTTGGATCTGTATCTTAAGCTGCCGGGCTATTGGCCATGTGGGTATCTTTGGGTCAGCATGGGCAAGATGGGCTGAATAGCCTCCTACTGTGCCGTATCATTTCCATGGTTCTGTGGCAAGCTACAGCATTTGTGATAACCTCCAATTACATCCAGTGGCACCAAGATGGCACCGGGGGGAGGAGGAGTGGAGTCTTTTTTCAGCCCAGGGATGGGCCAACCATTTCCACCCTCACCCACCCCGATTGTCTATCTGCACTGCTTTGGGAGGTGCCAGGTACCACTGTAGTCCAACCCTGGCTTGGCAAAATGAATAAATGGACGCTGGGCAGTGCCAGTCAGAGGTCACTATGTTAGGAAATGGTACACATTAGGCCCATATAAAATGCTCTGCATACATGGCCTGTGGGCCGTGAGACCTGATTTCAGGTGGCAGAGGTCTTGGGTTTGGAAGGAGCCTTGGTGAGTTGTTGCATTTCATGTTGTGGATGGTACGCACCGCTGTTAAAAGTACACCTTGGTGGAGGGAGTGAATGCTCAAGGTGATGGACGGGGCGCCAATCAGGTGAGCTGCCTTGTCCTGGATGGTGGATCCAGGCAATTGAGGAACATAAGAGCTAGGAGCAGGAATAGGATGTTCAGGCCCTTCAGCCTGCTCTGCCATTTTACACAATCAAGGCTGATCTCATCTCAACCTCAACCTATTCCGAATTAAAAATCTACCTATCTCCTCCTTAAATTAGTTCAGCATCCGAGCTTCCACCACAATCTAGTGTCATAAATTCCATGGATTTACAACCCTTTGAGAAAAGTAATTTCTTCTTATCTGTTTCAATTCTGCTGTCCCCTTTTCCTAAAAATGACCTCTTGTGCTAGATTGCCCATGGGGAAACACCTGCTCAACATCTACTGTATCAATCATCTTTAGCATCTTATCTACCTCAGTCAGATCTCCTCTCATCCTTCTAAACTCTAATATAGGCCTAAACTGCTCAATCTCTCTTCATACGGCAAACCTTTAACCTCTGGAATGAATCGAGTGAGGGTTCTCTGAACTGCATTCAATTCAACCACATCCTCCCTCAAGTAGAGGGCTTGGTGGCATGGTGCAATGAAAACAATCTGTCTCTCAACGTCGGCAAAACTAAAGAACTGATCATCGACTTCAGTTAAAAAAGGAGGAGAACGTATCCCCATTGACATCAACGGAACTGAGGTTGAGAGAGTGAAGAGCATCATGTTCCTCGGAACGACGATAACCGACGACCTGTCCTGGATTTCCCATGTAAATGTGACAGTCAAGAAGGCACAACAACGCCTCTTCTTCCTCAGGCAGCTCAGAAAATTTGGTATGCCCGTAAGATCCCTCACCACCTTCTACAGATGCACCACTGAAAGCATACTGTCCAGGTGCATAACGGCCTGGTACGGCAACTGCTCTGCCCAGGACTGTAAGAAACTACAGAAGGTGGTGAGCACAGCCCAGACCATCACAGAAGCCAACCTTCCATCCATGGACTCCATTTACATGGCTCGCTGCCGTGGCCAACATCATCAAAGACCCATCACACCCTAGTAATGATCTCCTACAGCCTCTTCTGTCAGGGACAAGATACAGATGCCTGAACACACGCACAACCAGGTTCAGGAACAGCTTCTTTCCAGCCGTTATCAGACTGTTGAATGGACTTTAGCCTCAAATAATGTAACCTGCAATGTAACCTGTATGCCTCTAATTTTTTTTTTGATCTGTACTGCACTGCTTGTAAACAAAGCCTTTCACTGTATTTTGGTATACATGACAATAAATCAATCAATAAAATCAGTCAATCAAAAGTAGAGGGCCAAAACTATACAGTATTCCAGGCGTGGTCTCACCAATGCCCTGTACCGTTGCAAGACTTCCCCATTTTTATACTCCATTCCTTTAGCGATAAATGCTACACTCCTGACTTGCAGTTGGTGGACAGGTTTTGGGGAGTCAGGAACTAAGTCACTCATAGAATCTCTACAGTGTAGAAATAGGCCATTCGGCTCAACAAGTCCTCACCAATGCTCCAAACAGCATCCCGCCCAGACCCTCTCCCTGTAATTTCCAATGGCTAACGCACCTTGTTTTTCCTTTATATTTTCTATTCACTTGTGGGATGTGGGCATTGCTGGCTGGCCAGCATTTCTGGCCCATCCCTAATTGTCCTTGAGAAGGTGGTAGTGAGCTGCCTTTTTGAACAGCTGCAGTCCACCTGCTGTGGGTTGACCCACAATGCCCCTCGGAAGGGAATTCCAGGATTTTGACCCAGTGACGATGAAGGAACGGTGATATCATCATAGAATCCCTACAGTGTGCAAACAGGCCCTTTGGCCCAACATGTCCACACCAACCCTCGGAGAATCCCACCCAGACCCATCCTCCTATAACCCAACTAATCTACACATCCCTGAACACTACAGGCAATTTAGCATGGCCAATCCACCTAGCCTGCATATCTTTGGATTGTGGGAGGAAACCGGAGCACCCAGAGGAAACCCATGCAGACACAGGGAGAATGTGTAAACTCCACACAGACAGTCACATGAGGGTGGAATTGAACCTGGGTCTCCGGTGCTGTGAGGCAGCAGTGCTAACTACCGAGCCGCTGTGATGTATTTCCAAGTCAGGATGGTGAGTGGCTTGAAGGGGAACGTGGACGTGGTGGTGTTCCCATATGTCTTGTCCTTCTAGATCGAAGTGGTCATGGGTTTGGAAGGTGCTGTCTGAGGATCTTTGGTGAAATTCTGCAGTGCATCTTGTAGATAGTACACACTGCTGCTACTGAGCATCGGTGGTGGAGGGAATGAATGCTTGTAGATGTAACGCCAATCAAGTGGGCTGCTTGAGTGTTGTTGGGGCTGCACTCATCCAGGCCAGTGGGGAGTATTCCATCACACTCCTGACTTGTGTCTTATAGATGGTGGACAGGCTTTGAGGAGTTAGGAGGTGAGTTACTCGCCATAGTATTCCCAGCTTCTGGCCTGTTCTTGTAGCCACTGTGTTAATGTGGTGAGTCCAGTTGAGTTTCTGGTCAATGGTAACCCCCAGGATGTTGATAGTGGGCGATTCAGTGATGGTAACACCATTGAATGTCAAGGAGTGATGGTTAGATTGTCTCTTATTGGTGATGGTCATAGCCTGGCATTTGTGTGGCGCGAATGTCACTTGCCACTTGTCAGATGAAGATGGTTGGGCTGAGGACACTATCCTGAGGAACTCCTGCAGAGATGTCCTGGAGCTGGGATGATTGACCTCCAACAACCACAACCATCTTCCTATGTGTCAAGTATGACTCCAACCACCGGAGAGTTTGCCCCCTGATACCGATTGATCCCAGTTTTGCCAGGCCTCCTTGATGCCACACTTGGTTGAATGCATCCTTGATGTCAAGGGCTGTCACTCTCACCTCACCTCTGGAATTCAGCTGTTTTGTCCATGTTTGAACCAAGGCTGTAATGAGGTCAGGAGCTGAGTGGTCCTGGCAGAACCCAAACCGGGCGTCACTGAGCAGGTTATTTCTGAGCAGGTGCTGCTTGATAGCACTGTTGATGACACCTTCCATCACTTTACAGATGATCGACAGTAGACTGATGGGGCGGTAATTGGCCGGGTTGGATTTGTCCTGCTTTTTGTGTACAGGAGATACTTGAGCAATTTTCCACATTGCTGGTTAGATACCAGTGTTGTAACGGTACTGGAACAGCTTGGCTAGGGGAGCGGCAAGTTCTAGAGCACAAGTCTTCAGTGCTATTGCCAAAATGTTGTCAGGGCCTGTAGCCTTTGCAGTATCCAGTGTCTCCAACCGTTTCTTGATATCACGTGGAGTGAATCGAATTGGCTGAAGACTGGTATCTGTAATGCTGGGGACCACTGGAGGAGGCCGAGATGGATCATCCATTCAGCACTTCTGGCTGAAGATTGCTGTGAAAGCTTCAGCCATATCTTTTGCCCTGATGTGCTGGACTCTTCCATCATTGAGGATGGGGATATTTGTGAAGCCTCCTCCTCCAGTGAGTTGTTTAATTGCCCACCACCATTCACGTTGGGATGTGGCAGGACTGCAGAGCTTAGATCTGATCCGTTGGTTGTGGGATCGCTTAGCTCTTTCTATCACTTGCTGCTTTCACTGTTTGGTGTGCAAGTAGTCCTGTTTGGCGGCTTCACCAGGTTGATACCTCATCCTCAGGTAGGCCCGGTGTTGCTCCTGGCATGCTCTCCTGCACTCTCCAATGAACCAGGGTTGATCCCCTGGCTTGATGGTAATGGTTGAGTGGGGGATATGCTGGGCCATGAGGTTACAGATTGTGCTGGAGTACAATTCTGCTGCTGTTGATGGCCCACAGCACCTCATGGATGCCCAGTCTTGAGTTGCTAGATCTGTGCAAAGTCTGTCCTATTTAGCACAGTGATAATGCCAGACAACACAATGGAGGGTATTCTCAATGTGAAGGCGGGACTTCGTCTCCACAAGGACTGTGCAATGGTCACTCTCAACGATACTGTCATGGACAGATGCAACTGCAGCTGGCAGATTAGTAAGGATGAGGTTAAGTATGTTTTTCCCTCTTGTTGGTTCCCTCACCACCTGCCGCAGACCCAGACTAGCAGCTACGTCCTTTCAGACCTGACCAGCTCGATCAGTAGTGCTACTGCCGAGCCACTCTTGGTGGTGGACATTGTAATCCCCCACCCAGAGTACATTTTGTGCCCTTGCCATCCTCAGTGCTTCCTCTAAGTGTTGTTCAACATGGAGGAGTACTGATTCATCAGCTGAGGGAGGATGGTATGTGGTAATGAGCAGGAGGTTTCCTTGCCCATGTTTAACCTGAAGCCATGAGACTTCATGGGGTCCAGAGTCAATGTTGAGGACTCCCAGACCAACACCCTCCCAACTGTATCCCACTGTGCCACCCCCTCTGCTGGGTCTGTCCTGCCGGTGGGAAAGGGCATATCTAGGGACGGTGATGGTGGTGTCTGGGACATTGTCTGTAAGGTATGATTCTGTGACTATGACTATATCAGGCTGTTGCTTGACTACTCTGTGAGACAGCATCTCCCAGATGTTAGTGAGGAGGACTTTACATGTTCGAAAGGGCTGTTTCTGCCGTTGTCTTTTCCAGTGCCTAGGTCGATGCCTGGTGATCTGTCTGGTTTCATTCCTTTGAGACTCTGTAGTGATTGGTAAAACTGAATGGCTTGCTCGGCCATTTCAGAGGCAGTTGAGAGTCAACCACATTGCTGAGCGTCTGGAGTCACATGTAGGCCAGACCAGGTGAGGGTGGCAGATTTCCTCCCCGAAGGGCATTAGTGAACCATATGGGTTTTTCTGACAATTGGCAATGATTTCATGGTGATCAGTAGATTCTTAATTCCAGACTTTTTTTAATTGACTTCAAATTCCACCATCTGCCATTGTGGGATTCGAACCCGGGTCCTCAGAACATTATCTGGGTACCGCTAGGCCATTGCTTACCCCACAGATCCACCCTAACCTACACATCCCCGAACACTATGGGCAATTTAGTACAGCCAATCCACCTAGCCTGCACATCTTTGGACTGTGGGAGGAAACCAGAGCACCCGGAGGAAACCCGCACAGACACGGGGAGAATGTGCAAACTCCACACAGAGAGTCACCCGCAGGTGGGATCGAACCCGGGTCCCTGGCGCTGTGAGGCAGCAGTGCTAACCACTGAGCCACTGTGCAGGATTCCTTACCTCTGCCCTATGAGCGTAACCACAATATTCAGTGTGATTCTGGCTGATCTTTGACCTGAACTTCCCTTCCTGCATCCTTCCTCATTTCCTCAACTCCCTTAGTTTTGAAGAATCCATCAATCTCAGCCTTGACTATGTTCAATGACAGAGATATTGAGTGAAATCGAACCAAGGGAACTAGGAGAGTTTAGAATCAGATAAACTGGAGGAGGTACAGTGGAGAATGTTGCCTGGGATGGAGCATTTGTGCGATGGAGAGAGAGAGGCTGGATAAGCTCAGGTTGTTTACTTTGGAGCAGAGAGGATTGAGAGGGGACAGGTTGGAGGTGTATAAGGTTATGAGGGGTTTAGACAGGGTGGGTTTCCTTTAGTCAAAGGGTCAATAACAGGCGGACATCATTTTAAGATGAAATGCAGGAACTTTAGAGGGGATTGGAGAAAAAAAAATTCACCCAGAGGGTAGCGTGTGTCTGGAATGCGCTGCCTGGGAGGGTATTTGAGGCAGGAAACCTTGCAGTCTTTAAGAAGTATTTGGGTGAACACTTGAAATGTCATAGCATTCAAGGCTTTGGGTCTGCTGTGGAAACATGGGATTAATGTAGATTAGATGGGCCGATGGGCCTCTTCAGTCCTGTATGATTATATAAACCATGATCTAACTGTCTAGCTGGACTGGCTCAAGAAATGGATAACCACCTCTGTCGCTGTGCTTTACACATCTGCTCCTTCCTACATTCCTCCTTTTAATTCTGTCTATTATCCATTGAATATAATTGGAATAAAATAAGACAAAGTTAAATTAAATATGAGTTAAATAATGCAAGGAGTCTGTCTAAGTGGAAAAGTTTTGGAAAAATGAAAATGTTTCACCTGATTGAGGCAATTACCAATGTGAAATCTTTGATCAGATTGAAGGCTTCTCCTCTATTTAACCTATTGAATTAAAAAGGGAATAAAAATATTAAGTTACTGCCTTTAAAAATGATGACAACTTATATTTGTACAGTGCATTTCAAACAGTAGCAGTTATGATCAAATAGAATTTGATGGATTGGACATGAAGACACATTCTGACATATTAGGTCTAAAGGTCAGAAAGTCCGTGAAAGAGGGAGGTTTTCAGAAGTGCCTTAAAGAAGGGATGCAAGACAGAAAGAGGTGCAGGTGGGTGACCGAAGGATGTAGATCTAGGGCTTAGACCTTTGACAACTGAAGGCACATCATCAGTGGTGGTGCGGAAATTAAAACTAGTAGCGTACAGGGTGTGGGAATTAAGTGAATACAGAAAGCTTGGCAGACTGCAGGTTTAGATAGGGAGGAACAAGACCATGGAGCAATTGGAAAATAAAGGTGGGAATCTTAAAATCCAGGTATTGCGGGATTGTGACCAAGTGCAGGTCAGCAAGTATAAAAGCAATGGCTGTTGGTTGGCTCGGCTCGCTGGCCGGTTTGCGCTGTGGAGTGATGCCAACAGTGTAGGTTCAATTCCCACACCAGCCCAGGTCACCATGAAGATCACAACTTCTCAACTTTGCCCCTTGCCTGAGGTGTGTGACCCTCAGGTTAAACTCTTCATATAACTTCTTCACGCAGAGATTGGTGCATATATGGAATGGGCTGCCAGAGGAGATGGTTAAGGAAGGTATAATAGCAACATTTAAAAAATATTTGGATAGGTTGGTACACGGATGGGCAGGGTTTAGAGGGATATGGACCAAATGCAGGCAATTGGAACTGGCTGAATGGGCACCATGGTCAACTTGGACAAGCTTGGGCCGAAGGGCCTGTTTCCATGCTGTGTAAATCTATGACTCTATAGGTCACCACTGGTCATCTCTCTAATGAGTGAACAACCTTGTAGGGACATAGGAAGAGGAACGGAAAACAGTGATAGTTGCCAATGGTAATACTGGCGCACTGTTCTGAGGAATAGAAAACAGGTAAGACCATTGTGTGTGTCATTTGCAAGGTTCATGGGCTTCTTTTTCCTTCGGGATTACATTCATGATAGGAGAAGGAGACTAGTGCAGGTTAAGAGAAGGGCAGAAGAGTTTTGGTTAATTCAATTTTATGGAAGATGGAGGGCTAACCAGGAAACTATTAGATGAATTGGGCAATGAGTTAAGAAAGGCATGGAGGAAAGGTTTTAGACAACAGAGGCAGAGATAGACATGTACTGTTTGCACTGATTAAGGTATCCAACTTCAGGATTTTCTTTTTACTTCCTCATGGGATGTGGGTGGCACTAGTTAGGCCAGCATTTATTGCCCATCACTAATTGCCCAGAGGGCAGTTAAGAGACAACCACATTGCTGTAGGTCTGGAATCATATGTAGGCCAGACCACAGTCTTTATTGGACTCTTATTCAATTCAAATTCCATCCATCTACTGTGGTAAGATTTGAACCCAGGTCTCCAGAACATTTGCTGAGTCTTTGGATTAATATTCTAGCATTAATACCACAAGGGCATTGCCTTCCCCTACATGGGGGGGTGAAGACACGGTAATATGTTGATTTGAGTTCTATGTGTCACATTATAATTTTCAAGGAGTAAGAACTCCCTACTAAAACTATCATACATAACTTTAGTTTAGTTCCCAGTTCTATATAACACATAAGTAGACAATCATTGCTCACCCATTGTCGGTATGTAAAGCATCCAAACAGCCATGTTTGTAGAAGTCAAGGGCATAGGCGTTCAGGGGCATTCTCCTGCCTTGCCTGTCAAAGCACTTCAGTTGCAGAACAGGGATGTTGTTTGTATGAATTCCAAGTGTGCGGAAAATAATCTGGAAATGGCAGAAAGTGCATCCACAATGATATTATGCAAGGTGTGATTCCTTGGCTGGCCACTACATAGTGGACACTTGCAGTGTATAGGCAGACACTGTGGGCTGTCTCCCCAGTGATAGCTGCTAACCAATGTTCTCTGTATTCTGTGTGTGTGTGTGCGTGAGTGTGTGTGCACGTGCGCGCGCATGCACATATGTGTGCATGTGCGCGCAGCTACACACCAGGAAAAACAAACCCATACGCACTCTATGATCTCCCCTGGCCATGCAGCCCAGGCCATCAGTCTGTACTCGGTATTCAAGCAGCGGTTTCCATGGAATCGGAGACCCAAACATAAGTGAAGCAGGAGAAGGTTAGCTCAAGGGCAAGGGAAAGAGACCAGGCCACAGCTCATAAGTTCTAGGGAGTTAACATCTGAGTACGACGGGATCTTGATCAGATGGGCCAATGGGCCAAGGAGTGGCAGATGCAGTTTAATTTAGATAAATGTGAGGTGCTGCATTTGGAAAGGCAAATCAGGGCAGGACTTCTACACTTATACACTCCTGGGGAGTGTTGCTGAACAAAGAGACCCTGGAGTGCAGGTTCATAGTTCCTTGAAAGTGGAGTCACAGGTAGGCAGGGTAGTGAAGAAGGCATTTGGTACCCTTGCCTTTATTGGTCAGTGCACTGAGCATAGGAGTTGGGAGGTCATGTTACGGCTGTACAGGACTTTAATTCAGCCACTTTTGGAATACTGTGTGCAATTCTGGTCTCCCTGCTATAGGAAGGATGTTCTGAAACTTGAAAGGGTTCAGAAAAGATTTACAAGGATGTTGCCAGGCTTGGAGGGTTTGAGCTATAAGGAGAGGCTGAATAGACTGGAGCTATTTTTCCTGGAGCCTTGGAGGCTGAGGGGCAACCTTATAGAGGTTTATAAAATCATGAGGGACATGGATATGGTAAATAGCCAAGATCTTTTCCCTGGGGTGGTGGAGTCCAAAACTAGAGGGGCATAGGTTTAAGGTGAGAAGGGAAAGATTTAAAAGGGACCTAAGGGGCAACTTTTTCACACACAGGGTAATGCATGTATGGAACAAGCTGCCAGAGGAAGTGGTGGAGGTTGGTATGATTACAACATTTAAAAGGCACCTGGAAGGGGAATATAAATAGGAAGGATTTGGCGGGGTATGGGCCAAATGTTGGCAAATGGGACTAGATTTATATAGGATACCTGGTTGGCATAGATGAATTGGACTGAAGGGTTTGTTTCTCTGCTGTACACCTCTATGACTCTATAACAGTCGGCAAAACAGCTAAATCCTAGAGGTGAGGTGAAAGAGATAGCCCTTAACATCACGGCAGCATTTGAAAGAGTGTGGCATCAAGGAGCCCTAACAAAACTGGAATCAATGGGACAAACTGTCTGTTGGTTAGAGTCATGCCTGGTACATTGGAAGGTGTACATTGGAAGATTGTGAAGTATGTACCTGTCAGGCAGGGAGGAAGTGGTCGAGCGAGGGAACCATAGTTTACTAAAGAAGTTGAATCTCTTGTCAAGAGGAGGAAGGAGGCTTATGTAGAGATGAGGCGTGAAGGCTCAGTTAGGGCGCTTGAGAGTTACAAGTTAGCCAGGAAGGACCTAAAGAGAGAGCTAAGAAGAGCCAAGAGGGGACATGAGAAGTCTTTAGCAGGTAGGATCAAGGAAAACCCTAAAGCTTTCTATATGTATCTCAGGAATAAAAGAATGACTAGAGTAAGGTTGGGGCCGGTCAAGGACAGTAGTGAGAAGTTGTGCATGGAGTCCGAAGAGATAGGAGAGGTGTTAAATGAATATTTTTCGTCAGTATTCACACAGGAAAAAGACAATGTAGTCAAGGAGAAAACTGAGACACAGTCTATTAGACTAGACGGGATTGAGGTTCATAAGGAGGAGGTGTTAGCAATTCGGAAAGGTGTGAAAATAGATAAGTCCCCTGGGCCGGATGGGATTTATCCTAGGATTCTCTGGGAAGCTAGAGAGGAGATTGCAGAGCCTTTGGCTTTGATCTTTATGTCGTCATTGTCTTCAGGAATAGTGCCAGAAGACTGGAGACTAGCAAATGTTGTCCCCTTGTTCAAGAAGGGGAGTAGAGACAACCCTGGTAATTATAGACCAGTGAGCCTTACTTCGGTTGTGGGTAAAGTGTTGGAAAGGATTATAAGAGATAGGATTTATAATCATCTAGAAAGGAATAATTTGATTAGGGATAGTCAACACGGTTTTGTGAAGGGTAGGTCGTGCCTCACAAACCTTATTGAGTTCTTCGAGAAGGTGACCAAACAGGTGGATGAGGGTAAAGCGGTTGATGTGGTGTATTTGGATTTCAGGAAAGCGTTTGATAAGGTTCCCCATGGTAGGCTATTGCAGAAAATACGGAGACATGGGATTGAGGGTGATTTAGTGGTTTGGATCAGAAATTGGCTAGCTGTAAGAAGACAGGGGGTGGTGGTTGATGGGAAATGTTCATCCTGGAGTTCAGTTACTAGTGGTGTACCTCAAGGATCTGTTTTGGGGCCACTGCTGTTTGTCATTTTTATAAATGACCTGGATGAGGGCGTAGA